AAGGAGGAGAGGAGGCGCCGCCATTCCTGTAATAACACGTTGCGTCTTCCACTCTCACATTAAACAGCCAACCTCTAACAACAATGAATGTGAGTGATTGTTGCAAGATGCACTTATAATTAGTTCAACCGTTTAAAGACATTTAACATTTCATATTTTTTGCGAACTAGGTTGATTATAAAACAATCATTTTATTTAACGAAGACAAACCAATAAAGACCATAATGAAATTCCCTTATCTCTCTTGCAGAGCATCAAAGCCGTGATCGTGTGCTGCCTCCTGGTGGCCGTCTCCGCCGGTGTAGACCGAAGGGGAGGTGGACGAGGATCCAACAGATTCCTTCCTGGAGGCTTCGGTGGCGTCCACGGAGGCGGTCTCCTCGGCGGCGGAATCCATGGTGGTGGGGAATCCATGGTGTGGAATTCATGGCGGATTCCATGGTGGTAGTGGTATTATCGGCGCTGGAATCTCCAACGGCCCAAGCGAGTGCAGGTATTGGTGCAAGACTCCGGAGGGTCAAGCCTACTGCTGCGAGACGGTGCACGAACCAGAGACACCTGTTGGCACCAAGCCACTCGACTGCCCACAAGTCCGTCCCACATGCCCACGTTTCCATGGGCCCCCCACAACCTGTTCCAACGACTACAAGTGTGCTGGCCTCGATAAGTGTTGCTTCGACAGGTGTTTGGGAGAACACGTGTGCAAGCCTCCCTCATTCTTCAATAACCATCTCCCCTTCTAAAGGTGCTTATCGTAAATAAGGAGCCATCGGTTTTCCGGTTGATAACGGAAGATGAGAAATCTGTGATTTGTAGATATTTATATTTTGATAATAAATCGTTATATACTTATATTTCCTTGCATCTTTTAATCCCTGCATCTAGATTATAGTAAAAGAAAACATAGATAACGACATTGATTTCAAACAAACATAACTGCCTTGCATTTCTCGTTGTCTAGGTCATAGTAATCAAATCGAACAGTAGTAAAAGGGGAATAAACACATGCTCAAAACACAAATAAATCCTTTTTAATAATCCTTTTCCACGTCAGAGCTCGTTATCCAGAGTAAACGATCAGGGATTTCCGATTTGTCTGTGATATCTGTTTTGACAGATATCACAATCACATGTTTCTGTATGTGAAGACCTGTGAGTGTGAGCATGTATTTATATGTATGAATATATGTATATATATATATATATATATATATATATATATATATATATATATATATATATATATATTAAAAACATGTATACAAATATATACTTATATATCACCACTGCAGATATTCGCACAACAAAAATAGGAGTTACGAAGCTACAGCAACATAGGGAGGTAAATGAACAAGAGAGAGAGAGACGTCACAGTGACGTCATCAAGTGTGTGGCCAATGACGTCACAGAACAAAGAACAGGTCTTCGCGTAAAGTGTTGCCATCTCCAGGAATCTGTCGTATTATTTTCTGTCATTCACTTTAACTGACGCGTAGAGCTCGATTACATTTATTTTGAATAAGGAATATGTGAGCATCAAACTGCTTATGCATGCGAATTCACTTCTCTTTTAACTTACTCAGAGATATGTCATCAAAATATTTGTATTTTACTTCGGAAAGTACAAGCCTGAAATCCTGAATCTCTACGCAAATAATTTATATTGGAACACGAATCTGCAGCAGCAACACATGCTAAGCCAGACACAGAGCTTCATAGTGATAGAGAAACTGGTTACTGTGACGTCATCGAGTTTGGAAAATACCTAGCAACCCTTCCTCTCACCCGTCCCCCTCCCTGCCTCCCTCCCTGCCGCCTTCCTCCCTTCATCCATCCTGCCTATACATTGTCCCTTCCCTTATTCCCTTTCTCCCTCTCCTCTGTCTATCTCTGACATCTCCATCTTTCTTACACCCTTCTCCCCACCCTTGTTCCCCTTTTCCTTCGATTCTGTTTGTGCTCTCTTCCCTCCCTTCCTCCCTATTCCCGCCTCCTTCCATTCTGTTTGTGTTCCCTTCCCTTCCTCAACCCCTCCCTCCCTCCTTTCCTTGTACCCTTCCCCTTCTTCCTTTCTCCTTCCATCCTGCTTGAACTCTACTTCTTCCCTACCCCCCTCCTTCCTTCTTCCATCCTGCTTGCACTCTCCTTCCTCCCGTCCTTCCTTCCAGCTTTCCACTCCCTTTTTCCTCCCTCCTCCCCCGTGATCGAGTTAGGAGTTTTGGTTAAACGGAGTGTGGCGATTTTAGCAGCCGTATAGTTAAATGCTGATAATCAGTCTTTTTCTATCAATGCCAGCTTTATTTAGCTGACCATCGAAGCTTCACCCTGATAACAATTCTGCAGACCCGTATTTTCTAATGAAACGCTGATTTTCTTGGTATTTGACTTATTGTTCTCTAACTATATGTTATCACTGTCTGATCTTCGTCATCAATGAAAAGGGGGAAGAGGAATTCAAAGTGTTTCGCAACAAGTGAACTGGAAAACCAAACACAATACATGGAAATTCACGCCGCTGGCTTGGGATATCCCGTCTGGCGAGGCGGAGGGGTTGGGGAGGGAGGGGAGGAGGCGGCCGCCAGTTCCCGTATATAAGCGACGTTGCGTCTTCCACTCTCCACATTTTACAGCCAACCTCTAACCAACAATGAATGTGAGTGCTCGTTGCAAGATCGACCGTTTTGAAAGACATTTTGATGTTCACATTCTGTCGTGAACTTGGCTGATTATAAAACTCATATAATTTTATTTAACCAACAATAAGCTAATACCATCATGAAATTAATTCCCTTTTCTCCTCTTGCAGAGCATCAAAGCCGTGATTGTGTGCTGCCTCCTGGTGGCCGTCTCCGCCGGTGTAGACCGAAGGGGAGGTGGACGAGGATCCAACAGATTCCTTCCTGGAGGCTTCGGTGGCGTCCACGGAGGCGGTCTCCTCGGCGGCGGAATCCATGGTGGAGGAATCCATGGTGGGGAATTCATGGCGGATTCCATGGTGGTAGTGGTATTATCGGCGCTGAATCCAACGGCCAAGCGAGTGCAGGTATTGGTGCAAGACTCCGGAGGGTCAAGCCTACTGCTGCGAGACGGTGCACGAACCAGAGACACCTGTTGGCACCAAGCCACTCGACTGCCCACAAGTCCGTCCCACATGCCCACGTTTCCATGGGCCCCCCACAACCTGTTCCAACGACTACAAGTGTGCTGGCCTCGATAAGTGTTGCTTCGACAGGTTTGGGAGAACACGTGTGCAAGCCTCCCTCATTTCAATAACCATCTCCCCTTCTAAAGTAAATAAGGAGCCATCGGTTTTCCGGTTGATAACGGAAGATGAGAAATCTGTGATTTATAGATATTTATATTTTGATAATAAATCGTTATATACTTATATTTCCTTGCATCTTTTAATCCCTGCATCTAGATTATAGTAAAAGAAAACATAGATAATGACACTGATTCAAACAAACAAAACTGCCTTGCATTTCTCGTTGTCTAAGGTCATAGTAATCAAATCGAGTAGTAGTAAAAGGGGAAAAAAACACATGCTCAAACACAAATAAATCCTTTTCAATAATTCCACGTCAGAGCTCGTTATCCAGAGTAAAACGATCAGGATGTCTGTGATTTGACACTTTTTTTCTGTAAATATATGATGGCCACAAGAGGCGTCACAATCCACGTTTCTGTATGTGAATACCTGTGAGTGTAAGCATGTTTTTATGAGTATGAATATATATATATATATATATATATATATATATATATATATATATATATATATATATATATATATATATATATATATATCACCCCTGCAGATATTCAGACAACAAAAATAGGAGTTACGATGCTACAGCAACATAGGAGGTAAATAGAGAAGAGAGAGAGAGAGAGAGAGAGAGAGAGAGAGAGAGAGAGAGAGAGAGAGAGAGAGAGAGAGAAGATTTAGAAGCGTCGTCACAGTGACGTCATCAAGTGTGTGGTCAATGACGTCACAGAAGGATGAACAGGTCTTGGCGTAAAGTGTTGCCATCTCCAGGAATCTGTCGTATTATTTTCTAAGTCATTCATTTCAATAATGCGTAGAGCTCGATTACATTTATTTTGAATAAGGAAATATATGAGCATCAAACCACTTATGCATGCGAATTCACTTCTCTTTTAACTTACTCAGAGATATTTTATCACAACATTCGTATTTTACTTCGGAAAGTACAAGCCTGAAATCCTCAATCTCTAAGTAAATCATTTATATTGGAACACGAATCTGCAGCAGCAACACATGCTAAGCCAGACACAGAGCTTCATAGTGATAGAGAAACTGGTTACTGTGACGTCATCGAGTTTGGAAAATACCTAGCAACCCTTCCTCTCACCCGTCCCCCTCCCTGCCTCCCTCCCTGCCGCCTTCCTCCCTTCATCCATCCTGTCTATATATTGCACATTGTCTTATTCCCTTTCTCCCTCTCCCTCCCTCTATCCCTGACATCTCCATCTTTCTTACACCCTTCTCCCCACCCTTGTCCCCCTTTTTCTTCGATTCTGTTTGTGCTCTCTTCCCTCACTCCCTCCCTTCCTCCCTTATTCCCCGCCTCCTTCCATTCTATTGTGTTTCCCTTCCCTTCCTCAACCCCTCCCTCCCTCCTATTCTTGTACCCTTCCCCTTCTTCCTTTCTCCTTCCATCCTGCTTGAACCCCACTTCTTCCCTACCCCCCTCCTTCCTTCTTCCATCCTGCTTGCACTCTCCTTCCTCCCGTCCTTCCTTTTCCACGACCTCTTTTCCTCCTCCCTCCTCCCCGTGATTGAGTTAGTTTTGGTAATACTGTGGACGATTTTAGCAGCCGTATAGTTAAATGCTGATAATCAGTCTTTTTCTATCAATGCCAGCTTTATGTGGCTGACCATCGAAGCTTCACCCTGATAACAATTCTGCAGACCCGTATTTTCTAAAGAAACACTGATTTTCTTCGTATTTGACATATTTTTCTCTAACTATATGTTATCACTGTCCTGTCTTTCTCATTTAATGAAAAAGGGGATGAGTATTTTAAAGTGTTTCGCAACATCCTGCTTGAACTCTACTTCTTCCCTACCCCCCTCCTTCCTTCTGCCATCCTGTTCGCACTCTCCTTCCTCCCCCTTCCTTCCAGCTTTCCCACGCCCTCTTTTCCTCCTCCCTCCTCCCCCTGATCGAGTTAGGAGTTTTGGTAAAACGGAGTGTGGCGATTTTAGCAGCCGTATAGTTAAATCCTGATAATCAGCCTTTTTCTATCAATGCCAGCTTTTTGTGGCTGACCATCGAAGCTTCACCCTGATAACAATTTTGCAGACCCGTATTCCTAATGAAACACTGATTCTTGGTATTTGACTTATTTTCTCAAACTATATGTTATCACCGTCTGATCTTCGTCATCAATGAAAAAAAAGGAAGAGTAATTCAAAGTATTTCGCAACAAGCGAACTGGAAAATCAAACCCAATATATAGAAATTCACGCCCCTGGCTTGGGATATCCCGTCTGGCGAGGCGGAGGGGGAGGGGGAGGGGGAGGGAGGCGGCCGCCAGTTCCTGTATATAAGCGACGTTGCGTCTTCCACTCTCCACATTAAACAGCTAGCTTCTAACCAACAATGAATGTGAGTGCTCGTTGTGAGATGTTCGACCGTTTTAAAAGACATTTTGATGTTCATATTCTGTCGTGTACTTGGCTGATTATAAAACTCATATCATTTTATTTAAACAACAATAAGCTAATATCCATCATGATTAATTCCCTTTTCTCCTCTTACAGAGCATCAAAGCCGTGATTGTGTGCTGCCTCCTGGTGGCCGTCTCCGCCGGTGTAGACCGAAGGGGAGGTGGACGAGGATCCAACAGATTCCTTCCTGGAGGCTTCGGTGGCGTCCACGGAGGCGGTCTCCTCGGCGGCGGAATCCATGTGTGGTCCATGGTGGAGGAATCCATGGTGGTGGAATTCATGGCGGATTCCATGGTGGGTAGTGGTATTATCGGCGCTGGAATCTCCAACGGCCCAAGCGAGTGCAGGTATTGGTGCAAGACTCCGGAGGGTCAAGCCTACTGCTGCGAGACGGTGCACGAACCAGAGACACCTGTTGGCACCAAGCCACTCGACTGCCCACAAGTCCGTCCCACATGCCCACGTTTCCATGGGCCCCCCACAACCTGTTCCAACGACTACAAGTGTGCTGGCCTCGATAAGTGTTGCTTCGACAGGTGTTTGGGAGAACACGTGTGCAAGCCTCCCTCATTCTTCAATAACCATCTCCCCTTCTAAAGGTGCTTATCGTAAATAAGGAGCCATCGGTTTTCCGGTTGATAACGGAAGATCAGAAATCTGTGATTTGTAGATATTTATATTTTGATAAAAAACCGTTATATACTTATATTTCCTTGCCTTTGTTTAATCCTTGCATCTAGATTATTATGAAACTAAACAGATATAAAGTACATTGATCTCAAGCAATCAAACAAACCCATTTATCGTATTGTGGTGGCATTAAACACATAATGTTAGACTAACTGATATTTATGCAGATTCCTTAGATTAAAACTTCCGTTTTTCTAGTTATCACTGTTTTCAAATTTATGAAAGGTCATATGAAAATACGTGTTTACATATTCGCATAGACGTACGGATATGTAAATGCACGCACTTGAACATTGAACTTGAGCATATACATATCTATGGTTGTATCCTATTTCGGTTAACTGCGAGTCAAAAATCCTAAATCAGTTTCTGAAGAAATACTGTGTCGGAGACTATGAACTTGTGAAGCAACACAAGCTAAACCTGACATGGGTCATAGTTTTAAACGAATTGGTGGACGTGGACGTCACTGGCTGTAATATACCCATCAACCCTTCCTTGCACCTTTCCCCCACCCTTCCTCCCTTAATCCATCCTGCCTGCAACCTGCCCCTCCCCTTATTCCCTCTCTTCCTCTCCTTTCCTCCATCCCGAACCTTCTATCCTACTCTGTCTCCTCGTCCTCCATTAATATCTCCGTCCATTCTGTTTGCACATGTCCTTCCTTCCTGCTTACACTCACACGCTCCTTTCCTCCCTCCTCCCCTATACTCTTTCGTCCTGCTTGGACCCTATCTCCGTTTTGTCCCTTTTCCTCCTTCCATCCTCTTTGCATCCCCCTCCTTCCGGCCTTCCTTCCTGCTAACAACCACACCCTTCTTCCTCCTCCCCCTTTATCCCCTTCCTGTTTGCACTTTTCTCCCTCCCTCGCTTCTCTTCACATAAGGATCAGACGTCCCATATTATTTCCAGTGGGATTTAATTGACCTTATAACCTGTCTCTCGTCTATTTACTTTGGGATTCAACTTAAGTTTTCACTCTTTTGTAATAAAGGAATTAACTGTCGTATGAGGATTGATTTTAGAGAAGAAAAATAGTATCTACGGGACATACACTCGACATTCGAGTATGATGTCTTTGAAATTGGAAATAACTATTGGAATGTGAAGGAGGCTTGTATAAATTTCTTCTAAACACCTGTCAAATGATGAAAAATAACTACGTACTGATTGCTACTAATCACAGAGTGATAAATACTTACGGTGACAAATTTATGTACAAAAGTTAATGAATTCCACTCATTCGAGATTGCTGATTTCTGCAACGTCTATTTTCCTTAGCATTCTTTCTATTTTGCTCTTTTCTTCGTCTTTCCTTTGTATTAGTTTATCAATAACTCAGTTGCTGATAATAGAGCTGCAGAGATTTAGAAAAAGATAAGGGAAGAAAGAGAGTGGGAGTGAGAGTGAGAGGAGGGGGGGGGAAGAAGGATAGAGAGACAAGAGAGAGAGAGATAGATAAACAGCGATCTGGAAGCCAACGTCACCGAGAACACAGCAGATGCGTTGATGACGTCACAGAGGAAAGTACAAGTACCAGTGCGTGGAATGTTGCCAACGTCAAGAATTTTGCTTTTTTTTTTTTTTTTTTTTTTTTTTTCTTTTTTTTGCGGGGGGGGATCTATCTAGCTTTCCACCATGTAGTCTTTATACTATTTCGAATCAAGACCGAGTTGAAACTGCGCAAATAAAAATGGTTATCACTGACTCTCTATCCCCTGACCTCTATGAACGCTGATGTAGAGGAAACACGAATATTAAAGAAGTGATGATAATTGTTATTTCTTTCTCGTGATTAAATGATAGCGATTTTTATGACAAATAGAGATAAATGCTGACAATCGGCTTTTCTTCACCAAATGCCAGTCTTATATAGCTGGCCATCAAAGCTTCATTTTAATGGCAAGATATTCTACAGATCGTAAAATAGTTAACGATACGCTGATTAGCCTGTGAGCTGCCTTTNAGTTTATATACATATATTACACAGACACAACACGCATCTGTTTTTACTTACACCACACAACACACACACACACACACATCACACACACACACAGCAAGACCACACAACACACACACACAACACATATATACTATATATATATATATATATATATATATATATACTAATATATATAATATATATATATATTATATTGTAGTTAGGTAGAGTTTATCATGTATTTATACAAACACCACAAGAGCACACACACACAGATATATATATTTATTATAATAATATATATATATATTTATATATATATAATACTATTATATATACTAATATATATATATATATTAATACACATATATATATACAAACACAACACACACACACACACACACACACACCACACACACAACACACACACACACACACACACACACACACACACACACACACACACACACATATATACTATATATATATATTATATATATCTCTATATATAATAATATATATATATATATATATATATATATATATATGTAATTAATATATATAATTATATATATATTAATATATGTTTATATATATATTAATATATGTGTGGTGTGTGTGTGTATATATATATAGTATATATATATATATTATATATATATATATATATATATGTATATATTACTATATATATATAATTACACACACACACACACACACACACACACACACACACACACAACACACACAACACACCAACACACACACACACACACACACACACACACACACACACACACACCACACACACACACACACACACACACACACACACACACACACACACACACACACACACACACACACACACACACACACACACACACACACACACACACATACACACATATATGCATATATATATATAGATAGATAGATAGATAGATAGATAGATAGATAGATAGATAGATAGATAGATAGATAGATAGATAGATAGATAGATAGATAGATATATAGATAAATAGATAGATAGATAGTTAGATAGATAGATAGATAGATTTATATATATTTGGATATGGGTAGATGTGAGTGTCCTAGCATTTAATTTTTGTAATGTCATAATCATTAAGCGTTATTTCATGCGACCGCCCTCTACGCGCCATCACAAAGCGTTTATGGGAACACTCTGTATCTCTGGCGAGCATGAAACTTAAGCAGATTGCAGTTTACGCTTGTTTATTTCATACTTAAACTTCAGTTAATGCTTTACGGCAATGATGTGGAGACCCGCTCACAGACACTCATGAATGCGCAAAAACACACAAATACACATATGTTATTTCTATACTATATTGTGTGTAAGTGTTTATGACGATGGATTTTATATTTTTTCTTTTAAGCTGGAATTTCTTTTCTCCGTCACCTGTTGGCCTCCCATTCCACCCTCGTTAACGTAACTGAAAAAATATCCCAATGCATTTTCTCTCTTTCTCCTCCTTTTCCTACGACTCTAATGAACTCCTCATTCTGTTCTGTATGTTTTCCGTTCTTTCCCCAGAAAATGTTTGCGTCAAGACCCAAACTTGGCTGCTTCCTCTCACCTCGAATGGCTGAAAAAAAAATATATTTTGAGGGTAATTGCAGAGTCACCTCTAATTAGCTTTAAACGTACATGTATGGGAAACACGACAGACGTACACACGTACGCACGCAGAGATAGATGATTAGACTTAATGATGTATCTATCAATAACTTACCTCCATTTTACTCGAATATCTCTCAAACGACGTCATTTTCTTTTCCGCAAATAGGAAATCGAGAAACCGTCAACAGAAGCCTCTTAAAGGAATTATTACTTCTTGTTCCATCCGATCTCTGTCTGTCTGTCGATCCCTTTCTCTCTCTCTCTCTCTCTCTCTCTCTCTCTCTCTCTCTCTCTCTCTCTCTCTCTCTCTCTCTCTCTCTCTCTCTCTCTCTCCTCTCTCTCTCTCTCTCTTCCTCCATTTCTCTTTCAAATTCAGACTTCAGAGACAAAGCCTTCAGGTCTTGCAAGCAAAAGTCCCTGGAACATTTTAATTAGGAAAATAATAGCATGGGACTCGTCTCGAAAATGAGCCTCGAATGAACTCCGCAAGTGCCGTAAGAGAGAGAGAGAGAGAGAGAGAGAGAGAGAGAGAGAGAGAGAGAGAGAGAGAGAGAGAGAGAGAGAGAGAGAGAGAGAGAGAGAGAGAGAGAGAGAGAGAAAAGCTGTGCATGCAAATGCATACGTGCATTCGTGTTTATACACCCACCTACTCTCATGCATTCCTAAAAAGCAAACAGAAACGAAATCCGTCCACGACAGCGGAGTGAAGCGGTTAGGAGACGGGGCGGCGGCTCCTTTCCATGTGTTCCCGCCTTCACCATCTGTCTTAGAAGCGTCAGCGCATTCTTTTGATCTCTCTTAATTGGACTCTTGCTCAGGGAAATGCGGAGAGCTCCAGCCTCGCGCATTCCTTTGAATAAGAGACCTTGAAGAAGACGACGAGGAAAACGAAATGGAGAAAGCAGCTTCAGACTGCCACTCGCGAAGGCACTCGTTTGGCACGATGGCTGGCC